GAAGCCAAAAAGACCCTCCCATTGCCATTTTCTCCCCTTTCAAACTCCAACGACAGGTTCGCCATATGGGCAAGCACATTCCCAATAGCAGCATCCCCTTTACTTTGTTTGCTTCTGCCCAAGTTGTCCAACCAGGCGATCTTATTCAAAACGTAGTAGACCAACGCAATGACGATCTCTACTCCAATGCAGTACCCCCACAGCCGCACAACAGTGACGATGTCCGTCCACCCATTGCTCGTCTCTTTGCTGATATACTGATCATACGGATCGGTAATCATATCGCGGTTCGAGAACCATCCAAACAAACAGAAGATAGTTGCAAGGATATCGACACCCAAAATCGCCGCCACGAGAGGTAGAGATGGCCATGTGGAGCTGCCGCGGGTCACGAAGATTAGCCAGTTCTCTGTTAAGGTGACTTCCAAGAAAATAATTTCTTGAATGGAGCCCCAGTTTTGGACGATGCCGCCGTCGGGAAGGAACAGTGTGCCGCGGATCACCCATGTTCCCGCTGCGAGGAGGATTCCGAGGATGACGGAGATGACCCAGATTTTGGGGAGTTGCCATTGTACAGGGCGAAGCTCGTAGGAGGCATTATCGTAGGCGACTGCTACGGTGGCCACGTCGGCGAAGAGGGCTAGGAAAACGACGAGGTCGGTACGGATACTCTCGTTCAGGATGATCATTGTCGTTACGAGGTAAATTTCTAGATGCAGACAGAGCGCGATTCGGTATTGGATGTATGCTTTCATGCGATGGAAGATTTGGCGGGCGACCTGCTTCTTGTTAGGGTGGACCAATTGTGACTGTGGGATGGGAACGAGTGGGGACTGACCTTGATGGAATCGATGATGGTTGAAAGCCCTGGCTCCAGAAACACAATGTCCGATGCAGATTGTGCAGCCTCCGAGGCACCCTCGACCGCGATACCACAGTCCGCTTTCTTCAAAGACGGCGCATCATTGACACCATCTCCAGTCATGGCTGTAAGATGTCCACGATCCTGGAGCATCTCAACAACCTGGTATTTGTGTTCCGGGAAAACCTCTGCGAATCCATCTGCTTTCTCTACCAACTCACCAGCCATGGCGCCGCTGAGACCACCACTGATCAACTTCTCCGAGTTGTAGACCTTCGTGCCCAGAGCCAGCATTTTGCACGTCTCCTTTGCAATAGCAATAGCATCTCCCGTAAGCATCTTAACCTTGATGCCTAGCTTTTGTGCCTCAGCAATAGTTTGAGCAGTGTCATCGCGAGGGGGATCAAACATAGGCAGCATGCCTAACAAGGTCCACTCTTCACCTTCTTTCTGAACAGCCACGCCAAGCGACCGGAAGCCACGCTGTGCGAATTCGGTTGCTTTTTGTCTGTACATTCTTGCAGTTTCCTCTGAGCAGTTGGTCAATGATAGGACTGCTTTAGGCGCTCCTTTCGTGCAAGTGTAGCGGGTGCCGTTAAGGGAGACATTCGCAACGATTCGTTTCGAGACCGGATCAAAAGGCGTGAAGTTCTCAGTTTTCCACCCTTGTTGGAGGATTTCCTTTGCCTTAGGGTATTGGTTGACCGACAGGATGGTAACCTTGTCAATGGGGTCGAGCGAGCGCACATTATGGGAAGAAGCGAGAGCAGCGACTGCGAACATCCAGTTTACGTCGACTCCTTCGGATACGAAAGGTTCCCGGATGCTGAGGCGATTTGCGGTTAGGGTTCCGGTTTTGTCGGAGCAAAGGATGTCGACACCCTATTTGTTGTGTTTTTAGTATCTGAAATAAAGGGCCAAAAGGGGCAATTTAGAAGTCGGGACCAGAACAAAAGGAGAGAATATGCCCATAAGGGTACTTACAGCAAGCGACTCAATAGCAGTCAATTTCTGAACGATGGCCTTCTTGTTCGCAAGATAAGCCGCACCGACCGCCAAGGTGGTAGTTGTAACAACAGGAAGACCGACAGGGACCCCGATGATCAGGATAGACAGGGTATAGAAAAGAAGAGTCTGTTCACCAGGCGAGGCGATGGGGATGTTTCTGAAGAAACCACCAATCCAAACTGCCAGCAGCCAGGCCATGACTATGACCAGCAAGGCAGTTCCAATGCTATCCATGACCATCTTGAAGTGGCCGGTATCTTTCGCATTTTGGACCATTGAAGCAGTGCGGCCAACGAAGGACTTCGTCCCAGTGGCTTGGACGACTGCGTAGGCTTTTCCACGCTTGCATCCTGTTGTGTAGAAAACTTGGTCACCAACGAATCGATCGACGGCAAGAGACTCTCCCGTAATAGCAGAATGATCGCAGGCCAGGATAGGATAGCCCTTCTCATCGTCGTCAGAGTCATCCTCGCCCTCCTCGTCATTGGACTTCTCGGCATCCTTTTCGAATTTTCCTTCGCTCTGCAACCTTTGGTATTCACTCCATCCTTGGTCGGGTTCATCGTAGTCACAGATCACCTTTGCATCGGCAGGGACAGTTTGGCCTTCTTCAACGATGATCTGTTGGAACAAAACATGAGCACCTGGTTGTTGAAGACATTTTGTAAGAGTAAGCTTACCACGTCGCCAGGAACCAGTTCCCGTGCCAAAATATCTTGCTCCTCCCCGTTACGAACAACAGTACTGCGCATGGCAATATCGGCCTTCAGACTGGCAACCACATCCTCAGCCTGCTTCTCCTGGTACCAACCAACTGCTGCATTCAGGCACAGAATACCGATAATAACACCGAAGTCGATCCAGTCCTTCAAACCCGCAGCAAGTAGGATCGCAATCTCCATAACTACAAACACAACCGTCAGCGCATACACCACACCCAATCAGTAACAGAACCAATCATCCAATCTCACCGTATAAAATCGGGCCCTGAAAATACGACAACAGCCTCGCAACCGGGTTCTCCTTCTCCGAGCTCAATTCATTGAAACCTGCCGATCGTCTCCTCGTCTCGACCTCCGACCCCGATAACCCATGGTGGATATCAGTCAGGCGCCACTCTTCCGGAAATTCGCGCGACGACCCAACATGCTTCCAGCGAAATCTTCTCTTCCTCCACGGCGCATACCACACCCGGCTTTCGCGGATTTCTCCCTCTCCGGGATCATTTGCGTCTCTCTCGCGGTACGTGGACATGAACTTCACCAGTCTGGTGTACTCGTCGAGTTTCGTGTCCGACCGGGCAGACCGGCTGGAAAATCGGGAGGCACGGCGCGAGCCGGCATCGTGCTCGACGTCGCCGTTAGTAGACATACTGAGGGTGATGGCGTAGCCCCGTATGGGATTACTGGGAGGGAAAGAAAGAGAGAAAATATAGCGCGGAAGGTCCAACCAACTGCACCGGGACAGAGATCGGGGATTAAGGAGACAGGAACAGGGAATGACAAGCAGTTTTGTACACCCGCAGACGATATAAGCGGTCTTTAGTAAAACCTAACTGGGATTTTTGCTCATCCTGTTTTGCTGCTTGCTGTCCGGTCGGAAATCGGCAAGCTCGGAGATACGAAGCTGAAATACCTCATGACGTCGCGTGCTACATGCTGCATGCTCACTGCAGGTGTCTCACTGGGTTGTACGCCTGAGCTGAGACTGTGTAATGTTTGGCCATTCCGAATTGAGTTAGAGATTGTCGTTGACTGTACCTAGGAGTGGCTGTTATTGGGAAATGGAGTGAAGCTTGTAGCTGTCGCTCCACTTGCACATTGATGTCCAGGATCGCTGGCGTTGACCCTCGGTCACTGCTTATAGTTCAAAGTGGTCTGAAAATACCTCAATGTGCTCTTGGAAATATCTACCATCTCATGATCTCACTTGATACTGCTATCTAATGCTCATCGGGATGAGGCTCAAGATGGGTTGAAAATACCTCAGCGCGGTCCGAGGGTTGTCTACGAAGTATAACGCCCCGAAAGGTCAGATGAAGCTTTGTTGATGTCATGTTCGGCAAAAGGTACGAGTCAGTCGACGATCTGTGCGGAGGTCAAAAGCTTGATTGGTCCTGACCCACTCTGTCACAGGCCTGTGTTATCGCCACGTCCATCATTGCCCTTTGCACGCACGAAATGGATGGGAAGACGGGACGCAGATAGGGTCGAAGTATACTACCAGGATCTCCTTTCATCGACTACAACTTCAAAAAATACAGGGTAGCATGAACCGTAACATTGCTATAGAATAGAAAACTTCTTACCTTCCACTCGCAATACATCGTCATGCGATAGCATGCAACTCTTTTGTTGTTCAACTCAACGATCTAGACCCGAATCCAAGCATGTCCTCCATCCATATCCGTGCCCCGTCTTCTCAGCCACGGCCAAATCCCGCCATGCCGACGGACCGAACCCCTGCCAGTCCCAGCCAATACGACCCAGTCGGATATGCGGCATATGGGGTTCAGCTCCATGATAGGCCCCCAGACCTTCATCAGCTTTACAAGAAACCGGTCTCAAGCTTCCGAGAAATCCGCGATTGCCCCACGGAATCCTCCCTGTCATATCCTCGCCAATCAACTACCCAAACCTTCAAGAAGCGCATGCTGACATCACTATAATAATTATCTTATTGGGTTTCGTTACCGGAATTCTTCGTGATATGAGAGCTATGACAAAATCACGCAGTCAAGGAATGGGAAGGTAATTCGGGTAGGTGAGGGATTTGCCTGATCATTAGGACTGGGCTACTACATATTATCGTGGGATAGCCAAGGTATTCTTTGGGATAGACTAGATTGACTTTTACACCTCTAGGGTAACAACAGGCAGCTTAAGCCCCTGTAGCTGCGGTCCATTCTCTGTTCTCTTAGTACACTTCTACCGTCTATACTTCCTGAACATAACAGTTTGGGACGTTAGTACTTCTTCACCGTTCTAGCCACAAAATTGTGAGTACTACACGCCTCGTAGATACCATACAGAACTTCAAGCATAACAGCAGATCAGATCAAAGCAGACTTTATCGCACAGCTTCCAACCTTTTCAACGATCTTCTTCCTCATTCGAACAAGAAGTTCACAATGCCCGCCATCAACTTCCCCCGATCGACCTCAGTCCTGTCTCACAAAACCATCGGCAAGCGCAGCTGGGCTGGTGAAGAGCCCGGTGTGATTCTGGATTTTGTCGTGGTCTTCATCGTGCTCTGCGGGATACTGGCGCTTATTGTCCAAAAAGCATGGCGAAATCGTCAGGCTGAGAGGGCGGAATGGGAGATAACAGAGATTAAGGATTAGGGGAGGGCGGTCGTTTTGTTGCTATACCCGTTTTTGAATGTGCGCCTGGCGTGAGCGTTGAGGATGGTATCTTGAAACTCTTAATAAATAGTCAAATTGATACGCTTGTGATGAGAATTGATTCAGGGTATAGTTCACTACTATTTGAGATCTTTAGGTCTGCAGGCGCGTTACTGTGTCGGGGCGGAGGTGAACCGCGTGTATTCGAGATGATGTACATAGCAGGTCGCTCGCTGCGGTGATATCTTGTTCACCTATGCTCTGAACCATTCCAATATATCCAGAGGTAATGATGTTTAGGAGTGATCTGTGGTCTTTCTATATTTATGATGATTATGATGCTTGTACCTCCCTAATTTCGACTATCTACCATGACATAAACTGCCTCCGTTACGAAATATGTACTCCAATCATAGCAAAGATGATCAGATTGACATTGTCTCATATCGTAGGAAACTCCCGACTTATAGAGTTAAATATATAGCATCTGAAAAAAGAGTTCAAACCACCTTGTGTCTCATCAGGCTCAAGGCAAGCCACTACTTTGTATTTACCTTGTCGGTACTACAAGTGTCGTTTGCGGAAACCTTTCGCGAAGAGCAGCCATGGTAAGATGTCTTTACTTGTTAGCGAGTACCTATCAGATTAACAACTCAGCCTAACCAATTTAGACTTCTTGATAAACTCAACACATTGCGGCCATGTGCGACGTATGTTCCACGTGCGAAAGCCCCTCGAGATCCTGGCACCGGAAAATCTCCTTGATTGGCTTTGGCCAAGCAAGGATCTTCAGGTCCAGGACAGCAATTGCCTACGACCGCAGGTAATGGCTGATGTAGAAAGACTTGCGCATAAGCGTGGCTGGAGTACGCTTTCCATATGAGTTGCCATGATAACCGAGACACTGGAGAGCGTACAGGTTACGAGTGGAGCCAATCATAGCGGTTTATATCTAGAAAGGCTGTACTCCCATTATATTGTCAGTTATATTGTTGAATCATCTGATCGGCCAACCGGTCCGTAGCTATAGGGCGGAGGGTTAGATATCACACTCCGATCCGATGGAGTCTCTGGTATGTCACCACAAGATAACATAATCAATAAATTGAGCATAATAAAATATATAACCCACAAAACTTGATAGAAACGAAGAGTACAACCTCCCTCAATCAACCAATGTATACCTAGGTATACAACCGCCCCCCAAGCCGACCCCTAATATAACCCCTCACACTCCCAGCTGTCCGCCTCCCACAAACTCCCATTCCCGATATACATCGCTTGCTTCGGCCACGGACAAATCGGCCTTTGCTTAACAACATAATCCAACTCATCCTCATCATGAAACTTCGTAGCAACCAAATAATCCGGCACCGTACCGTTCTCCACTCATCCAATCATAGCCAACAACGCATCATGCTTCCCATCATTAAACCCCTTCCTCTCATGAAGATGATTTCCCGACCCATCACTTCCAATAGTCGACGCCTGCGACGAACCACCAATATACCACGGTGCCTCCATATTCGACGGCGTGCTTCCGCAATGCTCCATTCCCGGGATCAAGTAGAACTTGTAGAAGTCATCCAGATCAATGCCCTTACTCTGCAAAGTCCGCTGAACCTGCTTGTAGAAGTAGACGCTGCTGCCGGTGGGAATGGACGGGTCCGCGAGACCGTGGTAGTGGATGAGTTTCGAGCCGCGGTTGTAGAAGGGTGAGAGGTCGAAGTTGTCTGCTGTGGCGTTACCGGGGTTCATAGCGTCGGACAGTTTGACCAGGGATGGGTTCCAGTCAGCCCAGGTGAAGTTCGTGCCTTTTTGGAGGAAGTATTCGATGTAGCTAAAGTCCGGGGTCTGGCCCCAGCCGGTTTCGGAGCCGATTTCGTAGTGAGGGAAGATGAAGGTTTGGTTGGCTTCGACCCAGTCGTTGTAGTAGTGGTAGAGGGTGTCAAGTTGGGCATCGGTGAGGCAGGTGTTGCTGTCGCTAATGGTAGCGTTGGCTGGGCAGAGCATGGATTCGAGGTTCAGGTTGCAGCGACGTGGGTCGGAAATTATGTTGTCTTTTACGCCGTCTTGAGGATCTGTGTTTGTGGGTGAGATGTGGTGAGAATGGTGTTCGGATCATAATGATAGGTTAAGGGAAAAGGGAAGCGTACCACACTGCTTCAGAGTCTCATTGGCAATGAACTCGAACAGGTCCGAGCTGATATGATGTGTCGAGTTTTCTGGTAAATTGTACTCCGCAGCGTAGATGTTGAACAGCTGCAGGTGAGTCGTCCACCAGGCCGGAGCACCGACGACTGCGCCATCGAAGTCGTCTGGAAATGCTTCGATTTCCTTCAAGCCCTGACGGCCACCGGTTGAGCAGCCGTTGTAGTAACTGTAGTCTAGGGGCTTGCCGTAGTAGGCAGCGATGACCTTTTTGGCTTCCACGACGGAGAGGTGCATTGCGCGCCAGCCCCAGTCGACGATGGACTCGGGGTTCTCAGCCCAGGAGTTGTCAAAGGCAGAGTCGTGGCCGGTATCAGTGGACATTGCAACTGCACCATAGGTAACTCCGGCGCCCTGTTATGAGAATCAGAACGTGGTCCAAATTTAAGGAAGGAACTGCCTACCATTTCCGCATAATTGACTCCTCCTGAGAAGGCAGAGTTGCCCGAAACCCTATCAAATGAAATTAGGGCCTGGTGTGGCATATTTTGTGGGTAGTACTCACACCATGCGTCCCTTCCAGGTGTCCGGTAGGAACAAACCAAAGTTGAAGGTGGTGTTGGCATCAGTGGGCATTTCAATCTGCACAGCACAGAGGGCCGGTAGCTGATACGCAGGATTGGGGAAGTCGGTGTCAGCTGCTGGGGGCGTGAATGTGCCATTTTCGGCCACACGCTTGGCTAGTACGACTGAGGCATTGGCAGGTACAATCTTTTGGAAGGCTTCGATCGAGCAGTTGAGGGTGGCGTTGGTGAGACCAGCACCTGCAAGCAACGCTTTGGCTGCTGCGGGCTTCTACCATCACACAAAGCAAGAATGTCAAATATGTTGAAAATTAAACGATCTTGAACGAAAGACAAGACATTCTGGGTATGACCTTCAAATGACTCGCAGGCTCGAGTGTGCATTCATCTTTTATCAAACCAAGAAGACTTGATACTCAGGGATGACCCTCTTCAAGAGTATTTGGAGCATCCTCGTTCAAGCCCACTCTATCCCTTCAATATCAACCCAGTAACAAGGAATTCGCATCAATCGAAACGCTTACGCGTCAATATATCAGAGCATGACGATTACCGATAACCACATCTTGCACATTACTTATAAACACAAAAAGTGGATATGGAGTATGTTCATCCCTGCAAGGACTGGTTCCAATCTCTGAGCCAAGAGGTTTCAGCACCAACGCTAAAATTAGGCCTCAGCGGAAGTTAACCGAGGAGTTACTAAATATTTATGCCTCCGTACCGGCCTCCACGCGGTCCAATTATGATTGTGATAAGTCTGTGTCGGACGTCGGATGTGGTTGTGGTGGCATCCCCGATCTCCGGCTGTCGGCTTTTCCGTGCATGGGTCCATCCGCCCACTGATCGCATCTTATCAGGGCTTCCAGGCGCCAACAACCGAGGTATGAGCAATCTTGATTAGGTAAATAGGGCGGATTAGAAGGCGAGTGGAGAGGGCTACGCGGCAGCCTACTAGTTAGTCCCTCAGGGTCCATTTAGGGTTGACGACCCTGACGATTACGTTCCAGGTTTTTTTTTTTTTTTTTTTCCTCTTTATTTTCTCGGTTTTTCTTACGTCCATTGTGTCACTTTTACTGGATACAGGACGAGATATACTGTGCGTGGACCGTGCATCTTCGGAAGAATTAGGGACAAGGTTCTTAAGACTAATGATCAGAAAAGAAATAAGAATAAATTGTTTCAACTCAGTACGCGTATGCAAAGTCCGCTATTGCCATTGGCTATAGACTGAAGGCCAAAGAATATATCTACCGCTACCACGTAAGCTATTGAAGCTGATTTACTCTCACACTGTTTATATCCCCATATTCTGACCCACTCGAGGTATTAAACCATTGGACATTCTCTCTGAACAAGCTCCGGATTAGATCAATTCGGGCAGGCTCTGCAACCTTTCCAGCTCCCCAAGAGCCGCCAAGCCACATGGTCGTTGTATTTTCCTTACTGGGTGGCCAATAGGTCAATCTTTCGCCATTAGGGTTGCCATTCTTGATAGAATCGACCCAGTAGCTTTTCAGGACGTCCGCAATAGCATAGTCCGTCTCCGTCCAAATAGAAGAGGCATCGGCATACGGCAGAGTGTGGAACGCGTATTACAGCTCTGAGCCATGGTAGGCACCACCGTTTCCGTTAGGAGGCGCATGGGTCAAGAAGTAGGTATAGACGTCACTCTTTGCTCCTCCAGCTGTCCAATCCTTGGCCCAGTCCCAGGTACCTGTGCGGCTGAGATCGCGATAGTACTCGTTCAGCATGGTCATATTAAGTTCTTCGAGGAAGATTTTGCCGAAATTCTCTGTGTTATCTTTCTGGCGGTAGCTGGTAGAGGCACCGCCCATCAGGGGTCCCGGACACCGTGGGCGCCCGTTTCAAAAATCACACCAACAACGCCTAGGTCCTTGGCTAGGGAACTGTACATCATGTCTAGCACACGAAGAACAAGCAGATTGGCCACTGACAGTGATGTGGTAGGGGTTGCCACCAAAGTTGCGGATGTCCTCGTGCACCCAGGTCAGGGCCGGTACCGATATCATGTCCAGAACGCCATAGTTGCCGGAGCTGTTATGAGGAGACTCGGCAGAGAGATCGGGGAGGGCAGGCATGAGGGATGACGTTGTTCACAGTGACCCCGTCAATGTATTATCTAGAGGAAGTACCCAGCACGAGACCATAGGAAGTGTCGGCAACGGGGTTTGAGGAAGAAGCCGCAGCCGTCCATGCCGCCAGGGCCGATAACAAGACAGTTGCTCGCATTTGTATATGCAGTTTTCAGATAGAGATAAGAAAGCTCGATTGACAATAGTTGTAAGGGGAAAAGGGTTCAACCAATAAAATATATCTAGAGACTTCAAGCTTATGATCACCAGCCTAGGTACTGCAATTTAACCATGAATAGAACAAACATACGTAATCCTGACGCTACACACGCGTCCCACACTAAAATTTCAACAATGCTAAATTCAACAAGCCTGGAATCAATACTAGGACATGAAGCAGGTTGAGCCTAAGCAATGGTGCGGAGACCCGGACCTATTCCCCTTTCAGGAGACATTATAGCCTGGGATTGTCGAGGGCTGCGGAGTCGGTCATGGTTTCCTTCCGACTTCCGCGTGTTCCAGCTTGATTCCCTATCAAGCACGAGGAATCATCCTGAGCAATGGACTGATTCGCCTTGGGTAATATAGCAAGTGTAACCATTGGTGAAAGTATGGACGCGTTGCCTTTGACCATGATCAACTCACGAAATATTCAAGCATTGCGACTAGGCCCAGCCCAAGTGCACAGTGTTTACCTTACCGGACTTGGAAGGTTATCAGGAATTAAGAGGGCCTTTTCTACATATATGGGTTGAATGCAAATTCCAACTCAATCATCATGAAAGTATTAGTGTGAATAGAACAGTTAGCACTTGGGGAGCTTCGTGACATTTTACAGGGTTGTCATTGTTCTCCTCGCTAACCAAGGATTGAGATGTTCGTAGCAGTCATGTATTTACGGGTCATCTTGGGTAAGTCATTAGCATCAACCTTTAGACCGTTTAGGCCAAATGTAAGACATTGCCGGCATCAATATGGGAATGGCACGCTATCTTGCATCGACTCATTCAACCGCCACGGTTCGTCACCCACTGGTAAAGGGAAAGCGCTCTCCCCGATATCCCCTTCTACTGGCTGCATCTGCCCCATATACAAGACTGGTGCGTTCACAGCAGGGAAAGGCCGTGACGGATCAACCCTTCCCGCGGCATCGTCTACATACCATGGTTCAGCATATGCGGGACCCGCCATGCCACTCCCGAGTGAGGGTAGTATGGCAGCTGAGCCTGGGCCACGGTGAGGGTCCAACATGGGGACACCCGACGCTGGTGGAGGAACTCCGCCGCGTAGATAGGTATTTGTATCACTCGGGCGAGCAATTATCCGTTTCTGCATCTGTTCAAACCACTCTCTATTCTTGATCGCAACAACGTGATACCATTTGCTCGGGACGCGGTACTTCTGCTCTCCACTCGCTCGTAATAGAGCTTGTCCGACGCGGTCCAGGTAGCCGTCAACGTCCATCATCTGGCAAGAGACCACCTCACCGAGAGGGCCAAATTGGGCCGTGTGATATATCCGAAGTAGGGATGAGATGCCCAGGATCATTCGTGTGTAGGTCATGTTAGGTAGCTTGCGCATGGTAGAGGTGTCGCACTCTAAGAATGCGTCTAGCATCTGGTGGGAGGCCAGCAGCCATTTCGTTATTATCTGGACCCGTGCAGCCGTTATAGGTGCGTTTGCTTTGTGTCTTTCCATGTCGCCTTCTAAGGGTGGGAGGGTGTAGTATTTGCGGGTTGGGGCGTCGGGGTCGCGGTAGCTTTCACCAGCGGCAAGTTCGTAGATGGCGAGGTACATGTGGTGATATTCCAGGTTCACCCATGCTGGGGATTATTGTATAAGCAGGATTCCATTTATGTGCGGATGCGACTTACTTGTGAGCATGTTTTTCGGGGTCGTCCTCTTCCAATGAAGCATTCGAGAATCGAACCAATTCAGGATTGGAAGCATCTGCGACTCACGAAGGGAAACATCCACTAGGGTATCGTCGTGGCCCAGTGAGGATAGTGTATCGTCAACGATCCGCTGAAGGCCAAACCATGTTGCTAGTTGCTGATCTAGGCCGATTGTAGATTCTCTCAGGTGGTGTATGTACCCGTCTATCACATCATTGAAGCGGAGCATATTCGGTCGATGCGTTCGAATTCCTATGCTACGCCTAGGTCAGTCGTGTAATAACTATGTGATAATCATAGAGTCCATACTTGGACGCGAAGTGATAGCAACCCAGTACGGCACGCGCCTGGGCACTATGTATGGAAGCTGGTAAATCACCATATCCGCCATGACAACGATAATTTTTTCGTCCCGCTGGTCCAGCTGCTATACCAAGCTCTAGAGTCATGGTGGTCGCAATGTGTGTATATTGGTAATATTGACCCTGCAAACGTGACTTTGGGGGAAAGTAAAAGATAAGCATCAAGAGGATTGATTGAATCAGCTCCACTGACTTTTCCTGCCTGAGGAAAAAACGTTCTGCATATACCTTGAGCATCTCCTCATTCAGAGTCTCCGCCAGGTGAGGGTATAAGGTCAATGAGGCAGCAGCTAGAATAGACAGGAAAAGCACCGGGCTCGTTCTGCGCAATGATTCCGCAGTTGTGTTTGATGGCAGCACAACCATAGGGTAGAATTGCATCTGTTCGTTGATGAAGAATGAGACCAATGTTTGCGCCATGTCAAGCGATACGATGCCGCGATCAACCACGTCCCCAGAGCCAGCTGGCGACTGCATCAGGGTCAGGCTACTGTTGGTAGGAGCAGGCTCGGTAGGAGGATTCCAAGCGTGCTGATCTGAGTCACCCTGAGCAGAGACATTGTGGACACTAGGGGGCTCTATGCGCGTAGATAATGAGAGGGCGGGCAAGGACGCTACGTCGCGGCCAGACGCCCCCGGAGGGTCAGTAACTGCGGCAGCGGCCGCGGCATCATCTGCCTCTTCCCCGCGGTCTGAATCCGGTCGGATCTGGTCATGTAATAGGGAGCGCAAATCTCGCACGTCCCTTTCCAACTGGGCCACTCGTGAGCCAGTCTTCTTCCGTGGCTGTCGTCGGAGCGTGCGGGCAAATACGCAGGTTCTTCTCGTGCGGATACAGCGCTGACACTGACGCGGGACGTTGGGATCCGGCAGACAGCGTACTTTGAGGGCCCTACAACTCTCGCACGACTGATTTAACGGGGGCAGGGAGTTTGGTAGATTGAGGGAGCGATAGCTAGAGGGCATAGAGGCCGACATTGTGCGTGTTAAGGTTGTATTTCATGAGGCAGCAATGGTCTGGAGAAATATTTAAGAGGGATTGCGTTGCGCCAAGCCCGGTAGTGGAGGATTGAGATGGACTCGGATCCCAAGCCGCGTCTGTTGGTTGGGGACCCGCTTGATGACGATCGTCAGTCCCCCTTGTATCCATTTTGATAAGACAGAATAATTGCTCCAAAGATTAGATGGAGGTTTCACAGCACGGGTACCATCGAAGGGAAAATAGGTTACGTTGGCAGATATATACTAAATCACGGACCAGAAATGAGACTATCTTCTTCAGGACAATGTGACCTGCAAAAGGTGGACCTTTTCGACGGTCGGAAGTCGGACGTCGGAGATACCTTTGAATCCCGAAGACGAGCTATTCCCAAAATGGATTAAGCGTGTCACGGCTCTTCCGATCCCCTGTTTTGTTGTGTACGCCTGCTGAGGTTGAGCATCGACGAGCTCTACGTAGTTCAATAAGAGGTTATAGTTATCTATCATGTGGCATAACCGCCATACTCTCATTTTCTACCGTCGCAATAAAACGCAGCTTTACCAGTTATACAGTCTTGTGGGGTTGGACACCATTATCGCCTGCCACTCTTCTGCACTAACCCAGGACCGCAAGCTCTTCAGCCATTCCGCGTCATCGATGACCAGATATGGGGTCTCTGTCAATGCTTCTTCACGCGTACGAACCCTCATATGCGGGGTATGAGGCCTAGAACCAATGTTAGCAGCGAATCATGATAGTGCTTATTCTAAAATCCTCACCAGTCGCTTCCCCAAAGGATCTGTCGCGGGTTGGCATCCACATAAGCGCGCACCAGTGGCTTCACGTCTGCATACCGCGGTGCTTCATGACTTACGCGGTATGGAGCGCTAAGTTTCACGTAGAGAAGCCCAGAACGGACCAGATCCATGATTTCCCTAAATCCGGGCTGTCGCGTGATATCTCCCTCATACTCTGCAGGCAGCATACTAGCGGCCTTGAGCAATGCAAAGTGATCAGTGACCAGATGGAGGCTAGAGGATCCCATCTCCTCCTCGATAATAGGTTTCAGCTCTCCCCAGAACTCGGGATGCACATGAGTGAATGCTATACTCCATCCTGGACATTGTGGCTTAATAGCTCTGATGTGGGCACGCAAAGCTTGTTTCTGCCGTTCCGCATCGTGCATTGCCTGGTATTGGTACAAGTTGACTCGAATACCTCGGATGCCCCTTGCGTGCATTTCCTGGAGCTCCTCTGGTGTTGTCGTCTCTGGGTCAATGACTCCAATACCCCTCGTTCCCGACTCCCCTAATTCGCGGACAAATGTTTTGAGAGATGTACAGTCTGACCCGTATGATAAACCATGCGTGAGAACGGAATTGGTGATCCCAATCTTGTTTTTGAAGGCGAGAAATTGCTCGACGGTCGCGGGTGGTGGTGTGAGATGTCTGTCAGGGGCGTAGGCGAATTTCGCCGCTACACATACGATCGCATCAGTATGATGTTACTTAGTAGAGTGTTAAGCTTATGAGTGGAGTCCAGAATCATACGCTCGAATATGTGGTGGTGGACGTCCCAGCCACCATTTGGAAACAGCACCGGTTCTGGGCATGGTTGGTGTTCGACGGTCATGATGGGCTTCGGAAGAGTTTAGCAAATCTGATACCTTCGAGGAACATCGAGGGAACAAATACATTGAAAGGGACCTGGGAGCTACACGTTATTTCATATTTGTAAGTCTGATCGGCTCGCCTTGTCTGTATACGGATCCATTTCGGGATCGCGGGTTACTCCGGGTCCCAACGGCAGCCGGAGCGACCCTGGCATGTACTCGGGGTCTCATGCAACACAACATACAATCTCCCCTCAATACCATGTTGGTTGTGATCTGCAATCTTGTCCTAATAAAGACTTTTCTTGTGATAATTGGACGAGAGATTGGCCTCCCCGATCCTCCTGGCTGTAGTATCTTCCGGTTTAGTGTTAGCACCGTAAGAATCTGGTATCTGCGGTTAGGTCTGATCTGCAGATGATATGCAGCGCTGGAGGCCGTCGGACATGCATTTCAGGAACATATAAACTCCTGTCAATCTGGTGCATTGAGAAAAGTGGCGCCTGCTACAGTAAGCTAGAGAATATCATCATTTCTGCAGCTGAAGGCTCCAAGTCTGTCACCTACCCCTTTGAGTCCCTACCATATTGAAGGCCACGAATTGGCAAGTCTGCATATTGCTTTACTCTGCATGCCACTCTAGATTATAAATTAGGCGTTGTCTATATTTCAGATATGATATCTGCGCTTAGAGAAATCGCTATTGATACCCTCAACATGTTCTGAGGATGCTCGAGGCTGAGCCCGCAGAGTGGCGACATTGATACAGTTTCAACTTTGAGATGTCATCAATTCCTCCCTGAGTTAAACATGTTGAATGTTAAAATCATTATAGCATTGCTACTGTATACTAGGTTTATTCTAGATATTTCTTTTCATTACTTATCCAAACTTTTGATCAGCGCACCTAGCAGGTTCATACTATCCACTAACAGTACTCGATACATATAGTTTCGCATAAAGGAAAATGACTAGGCACTAGAAACTTGACGGCAATATCAGTCAAGAAAGGAGAAGCAAGCAAAACATACATCGTGGTTATTAGTATCACACATTGAAGTTATAAAGGGTTTGCAAGGGAAGAAGAGAAAAGAAGCAGGAACCAAAACGGTTGTGGAGTAAATCATGTGCCGACGACCGAGTCCAAAGTCACCCGCCGCCCCCGGCATTCCGCTTTTCCCCACAAATCCGACCGGTCGCATGTTGCCGTTACGCTGTTTCATCGTGCTTTTGCACACATCATCTCGCAATTCTTCAAGATGAGTCCCCGAGACATAGAGCGCCCGGGGTCTCCTGCTCCGAAGAAAGTCCGGATTGCCTGTCGTCGGTGTCGAGCTAAACGCGTCAAGGTTGGCCCACGTTCATGTTCATGCTGCCAAGCTTGTGACTGCGCATCTTTGCTAATTACCTTCCCCGGAGTGTGATGGCGGCATCCCCGCATGTAGCAATTGCGCGCGAGCGAGGGTCCCTTGTATCGATGTTGATGGTCGGAACCGTGATATTTCGATTCCTCGCGAGTAAGATCTCCTCCATCCGTGGCTTCTGTGCCCTCAGCCGCACTAATTGTCCTGTGATGTCCCAGTTTCATCGCGCAATGTCGTGCCAGACTCACATGGCTCGAACAACAGATCAAAATTCTGGACCCGGACTTCGACCTGACCAAGGGGCCATCCGTGAATTTGGGTGAGAATGAATTGACATTGCAGTCTAGCTCGGAGGTTTCCGATTGTGGCAATGCTGTCACTACTATGCTGGAGACTGAGACACAGAGTCGCGACAAGCCAGCCACAAGAAAACGACCATACAACTTAGTCGAGGACCCAGAATCTGACCAGACCCCACGTGCAGAAGCATCTTCTGTGGCAAATGCATTTGGGATGCTGTCCTTACATTCAGATTCCCGACAACAGCACTACATGGGTTCTTCCTCAGGACTGCTGTTCACGAAGCTCCTTGGAGTGGATAGAGATATACAGGTATCCAGTCCATCATCCAATTGTGAAACCAGCAAGTATGGGAGGCATTCAATCTCCCAAGCCTTGAAACAAGGCTATCGCTCTCTGTACCAGAGCTTAACAAGGGTCTGTCGCTCCCCTCGGTTTCCGGCCACGCTTCTCATATGTATAGGAACTCCCTCCCCCCGAGGAAGCTGAAATCTTACTTGCCGTCTACTTCCAACATATACATATTGACTACCCCGTTCTCCATGCGCCTTCGCTAGTCAATGCGTATTTGGCATTGTATGGGAGCACACAGATGGAACCCACGGGCCAATACGATAGCAACGGGTGGATGGAAGGCCTGGAACCCTTCGAGTACAATGGCATGGCTGATCATGAAAGCGGCAAACCGTGTACGCCGATATCAGTATTTACAGCCGTGTTTCATGTCTTCATGGTCTTCTCTCTGGCAGCGACCGTACTAACGCGCAAGAAGAGCTTTGATTACTCTCCGACAAAATTCTACAGAATGGCCTTAGCAGAAACATCCAGTTGCTTCTCCTCTGTGTCAGTGACATCTCTGCAGGGTATATTACTCTTGGCGATTCATAGCATGATCTGCCCGGCTGGCCTCAATATTTGGACACTGGCACATATAGCAATGTCGCATTGCATTGACTTGGGCCTTCATCGAGAACCTAGCCCGTCTACAGGCATTTCCAGAACGTCTCTGGCTGTCAAGAGACTGATATTTTATACAACATACTCCCTTGATCGGTATGGAATCATCCATGTTCCCCGATGCGCTCGAGCCTAACAACGTCATAGAACAATAGCCACCATCCAAGGCCGTCCTTTAGGTATTAGGGATGAAACCTTTGATATGCAACGCCCCGAAGTAGAAGATGTCACTGAAGAATTGTCTATGATTGGAAATTGCAAACTCCATGTTTCAGCGCCATCGTCCGCCCATATGACAATGTCCATTCGTCGTTTCAGACTGGATCAGTACATAACTGAGATAAAGCTCCTTTTCTATCATTTACCCAAACAGCTTCGCCCGCTCGTGTGGCCGAATGACCTTGAAAATCATCAGGCACAGATCAAGCTTGACCTTGACGCATGGTTAACCGAGACATCTCTCATACAACCGCCGACTGACCGAGAAGAGGACAGAAAAAGCGTTGAGCATGAGAAACTCAGGTTGGAGATTTTGTACCACTCAGCAGTGACGCTCCTTTTTCAACCTTCCCAAGCATTCCGTTCGCCATCGCCAAGTGCTTTAAAACAGTGCTATCAAAGTTGCAGTCGAAAATTACGCATATACGATCATCTAAGTTCAGAGGAACAGCTATTATACAACTGGCGAAACATTCACGGTATATTTTCCTCGGGCGCGACACTGATCTACTGCATCTGGGCATCACCCTCTCTCCAGGCCACCACCCCGTTCGCGGAGGTATTGAAGGATCTGCGCACCTGTTCCAACCTCCTCAGTATCGGTGGTCAGTGGTGGCCTTCTGTACGTAATGGCAAGGGAAGCTTCGACAAGATGGTCGACCTTACTATACGGCAGTTAAGCCGTACTCAGACCTCTACATCAAAAATGCGGGGTTCACTACACACACAACATGCTGAGATTGGCTGTCAACCTGATCTAGACCATTCCAATTTGGTTCCAGGATTTCCTAATAATTCGAGCATTCAACTAACGGAAGACTCATCCCACCACCCTGAAGGGCTAGGTGGTCTCCCCAATGCGGGGTTTCATGACTCTACAGGTGAGGATTTTCGGCCTAACTTACATCCACGGGCGTACTATTCACTTTGGTGCTAATGCCTCTGCTTGTTTAGGAGACCATATGGATCTTGGCTTGGGAGAATCTGGGTTGTTATTTCCCAACCCGAATGGCATGGATGTTACTGACACATATTCCATTGACTCTGCGATGGAGAGCTTCCTCGCCGAATTTATCCGTGGAGACTGGGGCTGGGACCCATTCTCAGGCACAGCGGCCTTGTGAAAGCACACCAGTCTATTACCACCGTCACCCCCATCACAAGGCTTTTGTCGATCGGAGCCGACAAACTATATAAAACGAATACCACAGTGTGTCTCATATACTATACATTCCGATACAATCCATAGAGGCACCAATATTCACTTCAAGGCTATTCACAAGCCTGCGAGAAGGACAATACAGTCCCTCAAAACAAGCTGGAACTCACGACTAGCTTATTTCCTCAGCCTCTTGATAGTGCTCCCTATTTCATCACCCTGTTCCAGGCAACGCCGTGTCTCCTCATCAATATCAAAGCGTTCCTGGCAGAGGCGCACGCACTCTTCTGCCTTCTCAGGCGGAACGACAACCACCCCGTCCGCATCTCCAAGGATATAATCACCAGGATTAATAACAACCTGCCCCCCATTCTCTGAATTCTCGTAGGTAACTGGTACATCCAATTCAGAAGAACGAGTGAAAGAGTTGGATCCCAGAATGCTAATGCCGCGCGCAAACAGGGTCATTCCCAGCTCCCGGTGTTCATTGATATCGCGAAATTTGCCATCAATGATAACTCCGGCGGCACCACGTTTCTGAGCCCGAGTGCTCATGAGTCCTCCCCAACAAGCACTGATCAAGCCTTTCGGTTGTGACACAAAAACAACGCTGTCTTTGGGGATGGCATCGGCGAAATGAACCTTGGGCGTTGGCGAAACCTTGTCCGAGGCATGCACCATTTTCACTGTGTATGCCGGGCCAAGGAACTTTGCTGTGGGTGACATGAAATCCGGGGAGTACATTTTGAGGCCGGATAAATAGCCGCCCTGAGAGACTCCGAGCTTGACGAGGGCGTCGCCGACCTGAAGGGATTAGTTGAGCTCAAGCCAGAGTCGTGCTGAACGGTATGACTTACATCACAGGAGGTGAAGCGCCGCAACGCGCTGAGGACGTTTGGTCTGACAGCCATGTCTACTTGTTCACGATTGATTCGATAGTACGGGATGCAAATGGGCAAGACGGTGACCCCAGAAGGTAGATGGTAACGGTCCAGCTTACAAAAGCGGGGAGACAATCGGACCATCCGACGGGCCATCCCGCATTCTGGAGTAGCCCGGGGCAGATGCTCTTACATTGTTCGGATAGCTCCGAAGCTGGATCCGGAGTAGTCCTGCCCTTTTGCCTCGGCCGGAGACAGAGCTTGACCTACGCAATCTGCGATCGAATTCGAGGATATCCTTTGTAACTTCCTTTTCCTCAATGGTTGATACTCGTATCTCTATACTCAAGTCAGCACAATGCAGCGATGTCGCCAGAGGTTACCGATGCTGAAAGTATCATACCGACCGCTCTCTCTGAACGGAGCCCGGAACTATGCGACAACCGTTTCAGGTAACCCAGTCAGTGCGCCTCAATCTGAACACAGAGTACCTGACGCTAATATTGACCATTGGCCAGATTCTGGGTGTTCACTACGCCAAACAGATTCGTGCCATCGAAGCGATTAAGCAGGGATCAAACCGCCCGCTCACACTAGCCGAAAAGACCCTATACAGTCATTTACTGGACACGGAAAGCGGTCGCTGGAATATTGATAAGATTGCCCGGGGAAAGACCATTTTGGAGCTGCGCCCCGACCGAGTCGCCTGCCATGATGCGACCGCAACAATGGCCTTGCTGCAATTTATCAGCGCAGGCCTTCCGCGCGTACAGGTACCGACAACAGTGCACAGCGATCATCTCATAATCTCGGAGAATGGCGCAGAAAAGGATATGCAGCGTGCGACCACAGAACACGCAGAGGTATATGACTTCCTGAGTAGCGCTTCGAAGAAGTACGGGATCGGCTTCTGGAAACCTGGATCTGGAATCATCCATACTGTCATCTTCGAGAACTATGCGATGTATGTCTACCACATGAGCCCCGCAATTACCATGACTGACGTTTTTGGAATTTAGGCCAGGAGGTCTGATCATTGGAACGGATTCCCATACCCCCAATGCAGGTGGAATGGGCATGCTTGGAATTGGCGTTGGCGGAGCTGATGCTGTCGACGCTATGTCGGGAATGGCTTGGGAGCTGGTCGCGCCCAAAGTAATTGGAGTCGAACTTACGGGTGAGCTCCAAGGCTGGGCATCAACAAAAGACATCATCTGCAAATTGGCCGGAATACTCGGCGTGTCTGGCGGGAAAGGTCGCATCATTGAATTCTTCGGTCCGGGTACGGAGACTCTGGGCGCGACAGCTATGGCCACCATTTGCAACATGTCTGCGGAAATTGGTTCGACTTCTTGTATATTCCCTTACTCGGATGCGATCGCTCGCTATTTGAGTGCCACTTCCCGCGGTCATGTTGTGAGAGCAGCAAGCCCAGTCAAAGACCTTCTGCTCACCGCCGATAAGGGCTCCGAGGAGTACTATGACGCAATCATCAAGATCGATTTGAACACTCTGGAGCCGCATGTCAACGGCCCATTCACACCGGATCTCGCCCACCCCATTTCAAAGCTGGCTACTGCGGTCGCTGAGAGTGATTGGCCAATGAATTTAAGCCACGCCATGGTGGGTAGCTGCACCAACAGTTCCTATGAGGATTTGGACAAGGCCCGGCAGCTGGTCAATCAAGCCCGGGCGGCCGGAATAACCAAGTTCAAAACTCCTTTCTTGGTCTCGCCGGGCAGCGAAAGAATCCGGGCCACCGCTGAAGAGGCTGGTATCCTGAAGGATCTCGAAGACGCCGGTGCTATGGTTCTGAGCAGCTCGTGCGGACCATGTGTCGGGTCATGGGACCGCAAGGATGTGGATGTTCGCGGGAAAGAGAAGAACTCGGTGATATCCAGCTACAACCGTAACTTTGTGGGTCGCCATGACAGCAACCCGGCTACTCACTCATTTGTCACGTCGCCGGAGCTGGTCACGGCCTTTGCTTATGCTGGTCGCCTGGACTTCAACCCTGTCACCGACAGTATCTCAGCGGAAGGATCCCAGCCACTGCGGCTTACGCCTCCCGTAGGCCAAGAGTTGCCACAATCATTCAATCCTGGTGCAGATCGCTTCCAAGAGCCCCCGTCAGACGGCTCCTCTTACTCGGTTATCATTGATGAGAAGTCCGACAGACTACAGCTCTTGGAGCCCTTCCCAGCTTGGAAGAGCGGAAGTGCTACCGACATGGAGTTGCTGATGAAGGTCAAGGGCAAGTGTACGACGGATCATATTTCACCGGCTGGTCCGTGGTACAAGTATCGTGGCCATCTGGAGAACATCAGCCACAACATGCTCACAACCGCAACCAATGCATTCCTAGACAACGACCCGCAGATGCTAGGCCACACGAGACATCCGCTGACGAACGAGGTCCAGCTTACTCATGAAGTGGCCCGGGACTTGAAGCACCGCTCCATTCGTTGGTGCGTCATCGGAGATAACAACTACGGTGAGGGCAGTTCGCGTGAGCACGCCGCACTGGAGCCTCGCTTCCTCGGTGGCATTGCCATCATAGCTCGGTCTTTCGCTCGTATCCACGAGACGAACTTAAAGAAGCAGGGAATGCTCCCGCTTACATTCGCTGATCCTGCTGACTATGACCGAGTGCAAGAGGGAGATCGCATCACTCTGATTGGTGTAGAAGATGGAGAGCTGCAGCCGGGCAAGAATGTTACCATGCGGGTTACTCCGCGCCGTGGAGACAGCTGGGAGGCTGAGTTGTGCCACAGCTATCATGCCGGACAGCTCCCGTGGCTTCGGGCTGGCAGTGCCTTGAACCATATTAAGGCCATGGTACATAGTTGATGACTCTTTATTAGAGAAGTAAATGGATTAAATGTATAGAAAGCTTGTATATATAAATGGCAATTTCTTTTTTTTGGACTCACCATCTCGCCGAACGGACTTCACAGTAAGCCAATTTAGGAAGACTCTCAAACGCACTCTACTCAAGTAGGAATATGGGACTTGTAATAATCTTCCTTTCTCAATTGCTTTAGGGCTCACCTCCGTAGCAGTCTCATAGCACCCACATAGTGCCCCGGGAGCTAGGCCTCGGCTATAATCTAGAAAGTATCTAGGTGATTGCCTTACCGGTGCCCTAGAAGGTATCTTAGACGACGCTTCAGAGGTGTTTTAGTGCGTCTCTAAGCGAGTACATCAAAGAGGATCTTGAAAGATACCACGGGGATACCCTAGAAGGCAGTATAGGGGTATTCTTCAGCATATAAACTGAATAATATACGACTGAAATTACGTTCTATAGCCTAGCTTAGACGTAATTTCCGGGACAACTGTATCTAGAGATGATCGCAAAGTACATTCGGCAGTATGTTGAGCCCAAATATCAGCCGCCTATATAAATGCCGTATTTTCCGGTCTTAGATGCTATTCCCGAGGTTCCACAAGAGCAGCATTACGACTAAAGCGCCGCCCTCATTGGTGGTACCACAAAACCACCATGTCAGTGCGCAGGGAATGGTTCTCATGGACAGCTCCGGCCAGCCGGAGTAACCCAAGAGATACCCCGGACAGGATCCGCATACCCCAGACTTGGCTGGCAGCGGATGACATCCGGCCAAACTGGATTGGCTGCTACCCCCCAAACCTGCAGATGTGGACTGATCATGCGTTTGTTTGCATCGGCCGTGATATCCTGGGGTATTTAGTAGATCCCTTTGCCTGAGTTGTCAATTGCATGTCGACAGCCCGGTTCCGGTAACTTGGGATCTCTCTGTGTCGAAACATACCCCAGAAATCATACCCTTAGTTCAGAATGGGAGCAGCAGGCGGCGGGTTCTCCCCCCAAGCCATCAAACAGGTGCCTCCTGCGGCTCGCGGACTATACATCTGGCTGGCCATCATTTGGGCGTCGTATTGCGGTGGTCTGCATGGCTTCAACACGTCCAATATTTCGGGTGCTATGCAGATGGAGCAATGGGATCCAGATTTTGGCTGGGATAAACTTTCCAGCACGGCTGTTTCGAATAATGAGGGCTGGGCGGTTTCCTCCATGCTGCTGGTATGTGATTCGACAGTATTACAAAGTGCACGAACTAAGCAAGTGCTATTATATACAGGGCCAAACCGTCGGAGTTTTGCTCGCAGGTCCATTAGGAGAACGTCGCGGCCGAAAGGCAGTCATCCTCGCTGCCGCCATCTGCTATGCGATTGGAGCCGTTCTCATGGCCGCCAACCTGGGATCCTTTGCCGAACTCCTCGTCGGGCGTGTTCTTTCCGGATTAGGGTCTGGACTGGGAATGTCAGCAGGCCCAGTATACATCTCTGAAGTTGCACCCCTCGAGCTACGCGGAATGATGACCACCTTCTACAACGTGAGCATCATGAGCGGCGTCACAGGAAGTTACTGGATCAACTACGCCTCGTACCTAGTCATTCCCGACAGCTCCAGCTGGCAATGGCGTACCACACTCGTCCTGCAATCCATCCCGGCCATCATCCTCTTCCTCGGATACCCCTTCTTCCCCGAAAGCCCTCGCTACCTCATGATGCGCGGCCGCGTCGACGCCGCTCGTCGCAGCCTGTCTCGACTCCGTGGCGGCATGGACGAAAGCACCGAGTACTTCGCACGCGAATACGCCGAACTCCTCAGCAAACTCGACACCACATCCACTCCCACCACTCCCACCAAAGCCTTCCTATCCCTTCTCCACGAATGCATCAACCACCCACCCACCCGCAAAATCCTCCTCTTCGTCACCCTCATCCAAACCTTCTTTATTATGTCTGGTGGAAACAGCATCACCTACTACACCCCAGATATATTGGAATCCATCGGCCTGGGCCATTCCCAAATCCTCCTCTTCACCGCTATCTACGGCCTCGTCAAGGTCCTTTCCGTCTTCTTCTACGCCTGGTTCCTGACGGAACGCTTCGGCCGGCGTCCTCTCCTGCTGATCGGCTCCACCATCAACGTCGTCTGTCTGTTGTACCTGACGTGCTACCTTGCCCTCAGTCCACCTTCCTCATCCGGAACAGCTTCCCCTTCCGCCGCCTCGTATGTTTGCATTGTCGCAGTTTGCCTTTACGCTGTAGGCTACGGTTTCGGCTGGGCCCCGGTGTTCTCCCTCACGGCATCGGAGATCTGTCCGACCCGGATTCGCGGCACGGTGGTAACGATTGCTTTCACGTACCAGAACCTGCTTAATTTCGGTATTACGCGCGGGTTCCCCAGTATGACGGAGAGTATGCAGTCTTGGGGCCCGTTTGCGCTGTTCACGGCGTTTACGACGCTCGCAACGGTGTGGGCCGGGGTTGGGTTCCCGGAGTGTAAGGGACGGAGTATGGAACGGATGGAGGAATTGTTTACGAAGAGTTGGTGGAAGATAGGGTGGGCGAAGGTGCCGGAGGAGAGGATGGTGGAAGATGGTCAGGAGGTGGCTGATGATGGGGAGAAGGGAAGCAGTTCTCACGAAGAGAAGGTATAATCGGGTTGTCTTATAGCAGCGGGCTAGTTATGAGTATGGTATGATATGATTTGATTACGATCGCATGATGTCTGTCTGTCTGTGCATCTTCATGTTTCATAATCATAAAAAATCTTCTACTATGCCGGAACCCTCGGCACATGGCAAAAGCTGGAAACCCACCATGACGAATAACTCTCCCCACCCAACCACGCGGCATTAAGCTTAAGTTTTCCTGTCATAAGTTTGTGTTCCACGGTCCTTCTCCCTTTCTCCGTTTGTTCCGACCGTTATTAATCAAAGTTAATACCTTTGTTTGAACTGATGACATGATGAGTTGCGAGTCAGTCCCCAAGTGTGACAAACACAAACAACTAGACTAGTTAGGCTACTCTGCTTCCCCCCTGCACAGTGGCTTACCCGCTAAAAAGCGCCCGAAACGCCCATCAGAAGTTTAATCTGAGCTGCAGGAACCAATCGAGCGCGTGGCAGGGACCCAGCCCTGCGGATCCCTTTTTCTTATTTGTCTCGGTTGAGACTCGGGAGGGGTTCGGGGTGAGGCCGAGGTACAATGCAGTACTAATAGATACTCCGTAGTGAGGCGAGTTACAGTTAGGGTTTAACTTTCTGGCTTTTGTAGGCTAGCCTCCGAGGTTTTTCTGTGTTGGAGATGGAGTCAGGGTTGCCATCCGAAAAGGGTAGCTTCTCCGTTCAAATGAACTGTCATTTGGCCTGTCAGTGTCAGTTTCGGGAAGGAGGTATCCCCATCCCCCGCTCATGTTTGTTTGTTGGTTGGTTCCTTGGTTCTTGTCCGCGCGGTAAGTTGTACCTGGTACCAAGAAATGAATTGGACTATTGATTTGACACGACAACGACAGTTGAGTTGTCGTTGAGTAGTAGAGTTCAGTGTTGGCCCCACGTGATACCATCACCAAAGCTTACCCCTCCTCAATTTCACCTCCTTTTTTGAGTAAAGAGGCTATCTATCTATCTATCTCCTCTCTCTTCTACACATACCACATTATCATTCACTGGAAAGAAACAAGAGAATATGGCTGCAACTACCACCATTACCGTCCCTCATCTGGGCGGCATCGACGTCGGCTACCGCCTCAGCAACAACAACACCTACGACCCCGCCAAGCCGACCGTAGTGCTCATCAACTCCATGTGCATGACTGTTGCGCTCTACGAACCCCAATTCAACGACGAGACTCTCACTAACGCGGCAAATCTCCTCGCAATTGAGCCTCTCGGTCATGGTGCCACGCATTGTCATGTCGCGGAGCACTTTACTTACTGGGATACGGCCATCATGGCGCTGCAGGTGATGGATAAGCTGGGTATTGAGAAGGCGTTCACTCTGGGAACCAGCCAGGGTGGATGGATTGTTATGCGAATGGCGCTGTTGGCGCCGGAGAGGGTACGTATATCCTGTTATTCTTTTCCAATGATTTTAAATTCTTGTCGGTGATGATGGGTAATATTTTGACGGTAGTGTCGTACTAATTGCGTGTGAATGATGGTGGTAGATCCTCGGTGTCCTCCCTCTCGGCACATCCATGGACTACGAGTCCTCCGATTCCAGAACCAAGGGCTGCTGGGATCCCGTAAAGCTGCTGACTCCATTCCTGGAGAAATGGAGCAGTGCGACACCCACCCCCGAATTTGTCGTGGATGATGTGTGGTGTGGCATGGTCGGGGGCATTGGCTTCGGAAAGGGAGCGACAGAAGAGACGGTCGGATATTGGAAAGATGTCCTGAAGGAAGTGTACAAGGGCGATGAAGGACGGAAGAAGGTGCGCATGGCACTGATGTGTCTGTTGACGAGGGATGGGTTGGTGTTGAGGCTCGGAGATGTGCAGTGTCCGGTTTATTGGTTGCAGGTGAGTTTATTTCCAAGACACATTGGGGAAGTTGTTGCAATGGTTCGGTTCGGTTCGGTCTGGTTGGGGGTGGGGCTAATACGAACTACTGTCCTTAGGGCACGGAAGATACCCCTTTCCAGACGACGGTGGCAAGCGAGCAGATCTCGAAGTTCACCAGGTCCAAGGAGGCGAAATTGGTGCTTGTGCAGGAAGGAGCGCATTATCTGAATGCGACGAACCCGCGGGAAGTCAATGCGGCGGTGTTGGAGATGGTTCAGAAATATGGGGCGTAAGCGCGATTCAACCTTATCACCCCCATACTAGGTAGGACTCTGTAGATCAGAGCTATATGTATATACGAGAGAATATTCATGTATCAAAAGATGTATCTCGCGTGCCTGGACTAAGAAGTTCTATCGAGTAAACTAATCAACTAGTCCACCGGGAAGGAATCCGATGGACACGAGATTCGAGGCTCGAGAGTCACCCCCGGATCGAATCCGGGCGTGTG